TGTACAATGTCCTATACCTATCTTCAACTATTGGGTGTTTTCAAATTTATTGCAAAAATTAACATTAAAAAACGAAAATTATTTGATTACAAAAATTCGCTGCAACACACTCAAAAACTAATAAGTAATACTGTTTATTTATTGATAATGTCAAAAAGCAAAAAAAAACATTAAGGTCAATGTAGGAGATGTTCAAAATGCTCGCCGCAAACGTCTTGGCAATATCTTAATCTTAAATAGAAACTTCTAAACGTTCCTCAACATCTCAGGCGTGACCAATCTAATCGCAAGCGTTATTCGCCTTCATGTCAACGAAGTCGAGGGATTTAGTTTTGTATACAATACTTTTGACATATTCCCATAAGAAGAAGTCTAATGGTATCAATCAGGAGATCGTGCTGGTCATTCCATCGATCCTCGCCTCCCTATCCACCGATTTGGAAATATTCGGTTGAGGTACTGCCGGACATTGATTTGGTAGCGGGGCGGTGCTCCATCTTGCTGAAACCATATCATATTCGCTGGAACTTGTGGGTTTGCTGGATCAGGACATAAGTTTGTCAAAGTTGGCACGACATTATTTTGGAGCAATGCTAAATAATTATCGACATTCAAATTACCATCAATTAAAAAGGGGTCTATGGTATGATCTCCAACAATTCCTGCCCAAACATTAACCATTTCAGGGTTTTGCGTATGTTCTTCTGTAATCCAGTGAGGATTTCCATTAGACCAATAGCGGCAATTCATCATCAGAAAACAAAACATGTTCTCCTATCAAAATCGTCTTCCATGAGCACCTAAGTTGGTTTCATTTTATAGGGATGCATTTTATTTTCTTTTAATGTTCCAATAATCGATGAATGGCTAACATTGAACATTGGGGCTGCTTTTCGACAAGAAGTAGGTATGTGGGTTTTCCTCTAACTCAAGCATAATATCCAATTTGGTATCATCATTTATTGCATTGGCAGCTGCTTTTTATCTGCCTTACATGTCCAAGCTCGCGAAACTGTCCCTTGGGATATAGGCGGCAAATTTGGAAGTCTTTCACGAAATAAGCGAGCAACTTCCATTTGTGTCCGTGTGTCATCTCCATAACCAATCATCTCTAGAATTGTTATTTTGTGCATTTCTGGTAAAGGCCAGGCGTTATTAACAAAACTATTATTTATAGTTTTTTTTTATTTCATATCAGTAAAAAAATGGTTTTTGCTTATTTTCTCATTATCAAGAGCTAAATGGGAAATAAGTATTGAGTATTTTGTAGCGAATTTCTGTAATCAAATAATTTTCTTTTTTAATATTAATTATTTTGCAATAAATTTGGAAACACTTAATATTTCCAAAACAGTCGAAGATATGTATAGGGCATTGTACATAAAATATGTCTAGAATTTTCTGAAGAATCCAAAGATTGAATAATATAGGGGGAGTTGCATTTAAAATAAGAAAGTTGGTATTAACCACTGTTACATGAGACGCCCTGCATAAAAAGTTTTTGTTGAAAAAAAAATGAGCAACTAAAATACCAATCGACGTGTCCGAACGTTTTTTCGAACACGCCCCCATTTTGTTTATTATTGATATTATTCCATTTGGCTGATACACACTGAATATTTAATATACACTGTTTAATAAAAATAAACAATTTGAGTGCGAACAGAATCGAATAAATTTTGAGAAAAACACAAAAGTCGATTTTTATATTTCTTCATCACTTTTTTAAGTAGCAGCGCCACTTTTTTAAAATTAATTCCTTTTTGTTTTACAGTGAACACTACAGTATTTCAAAATTATTAGATTAACACAGAGAAATAACAAAAACTGAATAAAGTATGATGTACAAAAATAGTAACTCCGCATACATTCAAATATTAGAAAATGACAATAGATGATGGTAATTTTCGATAGTAAAATGAAATTTAATTCTCACAGATTACGTTGTTGCAAAAGACAGTAAGATGTTTAGTTTTTATAGGAAATGGCAGATCTTTTAAATCATCTGTGGCTTTAATAACATTGTACCTATTTTGCACAAGTTCAAAATAAATTAAGTTTCGCTTCTGTAGTTTGGCTCCCTCAGCATAACATTTATGTTTCTAGAATTGAGTCAATTCAAAACAGATTTTAGATTTTTAGATGTATAATACTAATTCTGTAGCAAAAAAATTCAATATTATTTCCTTGAAAGATGATGGAGAAAAACTTACGCTATGTTCCTATATAAATTTTTTCGTAACTATGTAGACTCAGCCTTACTTTTATCTAATATTATCTTTAGTCTTTAGTAGTAAGTAAGGCTGTCAGAGAGAGCCGTAATTCAATGGCGTGCCAAGCGGGTCAACCGAGACATGCGTGAACCGCTGCCTCAGAATATTTTTCACATTCACGTCACGTTAGTAGGTATACTGTTGGCTTTGTTATCGTGCGGATGTTACTTAATTAATTATTCCTATTCGTTGGTGTTTATGGTGATGTATTGTTGACAATTTAATTTGTTGTTTTTTTAATAAATAATGCGTACGCCTATGTCCTGCGACTCAGTTCTGACAGCCCTAGTAATAAGCACCATCTTGTTATTTTAGAGCACATTTTTAATTATCTGTAAAATTTTGTAGAACTAAATTTGGAGAAAATTATCCAATTAATAAAATGTGTAAGAAATTTAATGTTTTTTTTTCAATTTTCTTTTAAATCTCGAAAAATAGTTCTCAATTTTTATCTTATTTTTGTGTGTACAGACCGACACAAACAAGTTTGTGTTTCTGACTCAGAAGTGAAAAGGAAGGCATTGGACTGGAAGGAATAAGACGTAGCTTTCCTTTGCCGTTCCAGTGCGTTTTGTAGGCGGAGCTATCTCAGACGCAAGCTTATTTGTGTCGGTCTGTGTTTGTAAAAAAATGGTTGTTTTACAAAACATTTAAACCTTTTCTCTGGACCTTTTGTTGATTTGTGGATCACTATTTTCGGACAACTCAGTCCGTACATACCACATAAATAAATAAATAAATTTTCTTAAAATATTTGAATTTTTCAAGGTATAAAAAATTCCAAGTAACTTTTTGTATATTTTTACATTTTACCACAACAACTTTTAGAATGTCTTCTGACACTTTCTTGTGAAAAACCCTATATATACGGATTCGAGCTGATAAAATTCCTAGAATAGATCAGGCTCAATTAGACTGTATGTAATGATTAAGGGTTTAAGGGTTGCAAGGCAATTGAAGTTTTACTTTTTCAATTTTTTTAGGTTTAAAGTCTGATAAAACATGTATATTTGTCTTAGTCATACTCTTCTAAGACCTTATCAGTTTACCAAGAGATTCTTATAAGATCGACGAAACAGGTACCTACTTTCATTTAAAAATAACTCAAAGACGGACGGCAACCCAACCAAAGAATAAACAGCTAAATGATGTTGCCCATAAAGAGACAACCTCGTATTTTCGAGAATACGAAAACAAATTTGTATAATAATTTACATTGGTGACTGATAGGAATCCAACATATTTCTTTTCAGATTACAATGTATCAAATAAATAAAAACATACGTGGGTAAAGTCTTTCCGAAGTCAGTTGAACATATATAAAAGCGGCTAGCAATAAAATTTAATGAGTTTCATAGGCGTCCCTAAAAAAGTTTTCTGCAAAAAGTAAAAAATAATTTGAATATAATGTGTAGAAAATTTCTATTATATCTTCATTTGGCCAACAACATATTTGGATTATTTATGTCCTCAAACAATTTTATTATATTGATGGTAAATTTTTCGTTTTGTTCCGTTTCAAAAGGTCGCCAAAATGCCATGTTATAATAATATTAGTAAACAAAATATCTCCCTTATTTCTCCCTTTCGTAATTGTAATCTGAATAATTAATAGAAGGTGCGCCTATAATAAATTAAAATTACCTGAATCACACCAAATTCCGCATTGCTGCACTGCACTGCTAGGCAATTTGTCAACCAGGGCGTCAGCGACCGAACACCTGGTACATACTGCCAACCTCTTAGTTCTTCAATTGAGATCGAAAGACTATACCTTATAGATCTTTTATAAGGTATGTGTGTATGTCGGAGGGTGGTGGAATTGTTATTCCACCGCGGCACTTAGGCCTTATTAGGCCCCTTGCACACCCTCCTTCATTACTCGAGTACTTTTCTTCAAACCATCCTATTTACTACAAGGGTGGCTTGGTGGCAAAGTCTCGTACAGTTTATGTATGATAGTTTGGTCTTGAGTTACAGAGATTTTCTTTGCTCTGTTCTCATTACCATTTATCGGGGACCACACGCATGCGGCAAATGTTGGGCGACTCAGGTCTCTGGTAGGCTGTCACAGCCACGTCCCCGAGCCTGCCTTAGGTCACCCATCCAAATTCCAGACTGCGTCCGTGATGCTTGCCTCGGCAGATTGAAATCCGCCGGCCAATATACCCGGCTAGGCGGTCCCCTACCATGAGGTATATATTTTTTAATTTTAAAATATGTTGTGCAGGGAATATACGTATTGAAAAACTTAAAACAACTAAATGTTGTGTCAACATATTATATCCAACACTTTCCAGTTAAAAAAATTACTACATCGTACACCAAACTATTTTCTAGTGTAATATAAGGCCCAGTATCTATTACATATTTTATTCCAATACGAAAATCTAGTGACGTTATGTCATTTTTCAAAAATAATGTTGTTACTATATTATAAAATTAGATATAACAGCTATTTTTCTTTGAAATGCACAGATCGTTTTCAGTAAAAAAAATAATCTTGTACGTTTCCATAAAACGTGTTGTATATTAATAAATCTATATTAAAAATTTGGCTCGTCATTTCATATCATAAATTTTCAACAATGTTTCTAACAAATTCTTGTTATTTTTTATTGCTCTCTGCTCTTAAGTTTATTCTATACAACATCCAGCAAAGTTTTTTTTTATTTTAAGGAAGCAATAAGTGCTGCGAGTTGCAGAAATTCGGTAGAAAATACTTACGCGAATTACTTCTCCGCTTTCTCCTTTTTCATAGCTATTTTCTTCATGTTATCTGAAAAAAAAGAAAAAACACATTACATCGAATTATTTATTATTAATTCGTCGAATTATTTGATTTTAATGGCATATTATACATGTCCCCACACCTCAAGATGTTCATTATATTATATTCCGCTAACACATTACCATTTTACTAAGTGTCAAATGCCAGTTACCGTTGAGTGAAGCTTTTATACTGTAATCAAAATTTTTTTCAAGAACTTGTTGATAGTACCGCTCGACAATGTATGACTAAAGATTTTGTTAAAATTACTTCCCATAGATTGGATACCACACATGCATGTGTTTAACATTGCTTCAAAATTTACTATTAAATATTTTTTTAAACAGAAGATTCATACTACAATTAATATTTTAAAATTCCACAGGGTGTAACAGATATTAGAAATTATGGAGAAGTAACACAAATTTCGAAATTTTACGGAAATTTTAAAAAACATAAATTTTTGAAAAAATGTTGATTCTTGTTTGAAAATGAAATACAAATAGTTAATTATTTAGTACGCGAAGCAAAACGGCTCCATCTGTCTGTCTGTCGTGCCGACTTCCACTATGCCATTCAAATGGCTACTACTGTGGAAGAGACCTGCTAAAATTTGCCAGGTACTTTTTTGCACGACTGTCGCCTAAAGTTCGAAAACAATTCTAACCAGTGTTGCTAGAAACAACTACACCGCGGGCTATATTAATGTCAATATTAGCAAATCAATATTAAATTATACAGGGCGATCAAAAATAAAGTACAAAGAATTAAAGAGGCTACTCTAGTAAGAAATATATGGTTGGTTCCCATGACACTTTTACAAAAACTCAATATTAATGAAATCCGGCATGGTGGGGCATTTATCTTGAGACAAAAGAGAAAGCTAGTTATGCAGATATGAATCTTCAATGCGGGTATTGTTTCTTTATAAAAATTGTGGGTTTAAAAAATATAATAATTGACTTGTATTTGAATGTAGTGATCTTTTATGCATATACCTAATTTGATTTTTTGAAAACATTGAAGTGTTTTACAACTCAATTTTGATGATTTTTCATTTATAATTCAAGTTTATTACGAGTAATAAATGGACAAATTAAAAAAAAAATCAGTAAACTGAAAACATTGTGGCACTGAAATGTCCATATTACGACTTCCGGTCTAGACCAGAAGTGGCGTTTTAAGACCAGAAGTTGATATTTTTATATGAAACACTCATTTTTTACCACGGATTACGATTGAAAAACGAAAAAAAAACTTTTTGTTTTTATTATTTTTTCGATTTAATTCATATTTTGGCCATAAAAAACAAACAAAAAAACAAGAATCTAAGAATCTTGAGACAACGGAGTACCTTGTCGGGATCACTTTAAAAAAAAATGTTTCATACAAAAGTTGTAGTGTGAAAAAAGGGCTATCTTGACATGACCTTGAAAATGACCTTGACCTTGACTTCAAGGTCGTTTGAAGATCAATTAACTTAGCCTCAAGAACAAGATCAGATATCAAGGTCATTTTAAGGTTGAAAAACTGTATAATTATATTCTACTTTTAGCACTACCAAGGAATAACTATGTTGATATCTGATCTTGTTCTTGAGGTTAAGTTCATATCTTATTTTAAAACTTCCCGCTCTTGTAATTTCCGAAGTCAAAAAGAGGGTCCCATTTTGAATTTTGAATTTGATCTTCAAATGACCTTGAAGAAGTCAAAGTCAAGGTCATGTCAAGATAGCCCCCTTTTCGCCCTACAACTTTTGTATAAAACATTTAAAAAAAAGTGATCCCAACAAGGTACTTCTTGTTTTTTTTTTGTTTTTTACCTTTATCTTTATATATATAATTCTTCTGTGCGTGTGTATGTCACTGAACTCCTTCTAAACGGCTGGACCGATTTTGATGAATTTTTTTGTGTGTGTTCAAGTGGATTCGAGAATGGTTTAGATTCGATAGATGTTTTTTTAATTAATTTAACGTTTGAACAGGACAACGTTTGTCGGGTTCGCTAGTATATTTATATATTTTATCGTGAAAATAAGAACAAAAAGTTTTTTTTCGTTTTCCAATCGAAATCTGAAGTAAAAAATGGGTGTTTCCATTTTAAAAAATCAATCAAAATCGTAATATGGACCTTTCAATGGGTTCTTCGATGTCATACAGGTTTTGTCTGCAACTTTTTCCAAAATAATCGAGTCCAACCCAGATATTATTTTATCTCAAGATAAATGCCCCACCCGGTATAAGTTCAGTTACTTTTTTAAATAAAAATTTTGCCACAACGGTTTCAGTTGAGTGATTTTTTTAATTCCTTGCATTTATTACTCGTAATAAACTTGAATTATAATTGAAAAATCATTAAAATTGAGTTGTAAAAGACTTAAATCCGAGTTCAATTATTTTTTTTTTTAATCCACAATTTTTATAAAGGACTATATCCGCAGTGAGGAGTCATATCTTTTGCATACCTAGATTTCTGGTACCGAAGCGAAGAACATTGTTTCATTTGATAAGATTTTTTAAAAACAAATTGTATGTATTTTAATTTGTTTGAATTAACTTTAAAATAGAAATAAAACATTAAAGTAACGTACGCACCTTCATACCCAACGCTGTACGTTCTTTAAAAACATAAACTGAAAGAAAAGAACCTGCAAATTTTAAACCGGTCGAACTATTCCGGACTTCCTATATCATACATCAAGATAAAACTGTACCAAAGTGCGGTTGACGACCCTTGTCGTATCCGAGATATCGTGAAATGCACTTACGCCCGTCACGCATTCATATTTTTTCTGCTACCAGTTTTGAAATGACCTGAAACTTACTGTTACCAAATATTTGAGTTATCTTAAACAACGGTTCCACGATAAGACAATTTCATTTTCCACTTTAAGATACAAACTAGAAGCATTACAGTCCTCAAGGTAATCGGTGGCATACAATAGGTTAGTTTGAACATAACATTTTAAAATAAAATAATTAAAATAAATATTAGCATATAGAATATTATTTCTGCAGCAGAAGCACCGTGAAAGTAAAGTTCTTTTGAATTTATCACTGTCGCTAGAAGTGTTTTATTTACCATAGATCTCCTCATAAATTGAGAATTACTAAGAATAAATCATCAGACAACAAATGTCAAAAGTCTCGTTAGAATGGTCAAATATTGCGAGCCCCTGTTGCAATTTATTTTACGTTTTACATGTCACGTAAGCACATTTGTATTTGACCGTAAATAATCATCTTTTATTTAGCACTCAAAATAATTCGTTAATGAAAATCTCATTTAATCAAACGTGTTTTCTTTTTCCGTAACTCCATGCTAAAATATATTTTTTCTACAAACGTCAAAAAATGACAAGGTTTGCGCATTGACAACAATATGCGAAGTGACACTTTTTTTCGGATTCTTACGTTACCATGACACCGTGCGCGAAATACTTCGCGCACTAGGGTGCGAAGTATTTCGCACACTGCATGTAAATTAATAAGAGTTTTGTATTTCAATCTTTGAAAAAATGAAGCAAAACTCCAAATTATTATTTATTTTTAAATGAATAACAATTAAATACTTTTAAAATAATGATAGAATTTTACAATAACTTTAGTTATTATTTACAATATTAACATTAATCGTACAACCAGTACACGAACCAATATTTATTCCTAAACCAGATAATTCAGGTTCAGCTCGGGATATTGGGGTTTTGGGGGTTGAAACACTACTAATTTTTGAGGTAGAGGTGATACCATGTGATCCTGAAATTTCACAATCTAAAATTTTATTTGATATTTGAATCTTATTATTGATAGAATCTTCCACGTATCCTTCGGCCACGGTGGAAGATTTCCATCCCCCGTGTCTCTTCAAACTACATNAAAAAATTCAAACCACCAAAGTAGCATTTCGCGCACTAGATACAAAAATAAATATAGGCTTCTTCTAAATAAAAATTTTGATATTCCAAGGTAAGTAATACAAGGCCAACTTATACATAAATGGTTATAAGCCACGTGACCGCCGACCTTAGGCAACCAACATTGCAAGGCTAGTACTGTCAACTAAAAACCTCTAAATCTTAATGTCACCAAGATTAATGATTATTTTGCAATGAGCAATGCGATCGCTGATTAGTTAAATAAAATATCGTAAAAAATTTCACCAACCACCAGCTGCTGAAACAGAATGTTGTATTTTAATGTAATTTTGATCTTATTGTTTTAATAATTTAATTGCCAACATGACGGAAATAAAACAACATTACTGGTCACGTGGCTTGTAATCATTTATGAACGCACTGTAGGTCTAATGAGTATGCTGTTAATTGCCATTGGAAAATACATTGAAAATTGCTTACACTGCTAAAGAAACTGACAGATGAAAGTCAATCTTGAAAATATTATAGACCATAAGATACCTCTAGTCTTGTTAAGAAACTGTTATTGATAACTTAAATATTAATAAACCTGTGCACGATTGTATATCAAATAACAAAGCTGAACCTAGTAAAACAAGGAACCTTTATTCACTTATTAATAATAAAATAATATGAAATAATAAAATAATGAAATATTTTAATAAAGAACTTTCTGATAACTTAATTTTGACAAGAAGAAATATACTATAAAAACTTAACTGATTTGACATACGAGGTCTGTTCAAGAAATAATCGAACTTTATCGTTTCAAACTTTAGTATTAATTTTGTACATTAGGTACTGGTTTTTGTCTCTTTCAAAGTATTCCCTTCCCCAATTCACATAATTTTGTCAGCGGTGTTTCCATTTTGCGAAGCAGTCTTGGATAGCTTCATTTGAAATGGTTTTTAAAGTCTGTGACGAAATTGTTTTGATGTCATCAAAAGTCCGAAAACGGCGTCCTTTCAGCATTGATTTTAATTAAGGAAATAAGAAAAAAACGCAAGTAACTAGGTCTGACGAGTAAGGAAGGTGAGGGAGGACAATAACCTGATTTTTAGCACAAAACTGATGGACTGACAAAGCTATGTGT